TCAACTTGGTTACCAACAGTCTTCAAACTTTTGTGCTTAACAGAAAAAAAAAGAAACTCATAAATGTTTGGAACAAGTAGATAATGACAGAGTTTTTGGGTGGACTATTTCTTTAATACCGCCAAGCATGCTGAATATCAAGAAAACAATAAACAATCAATGAGCATATAATTTTAAAAAGAACAAATTAGTTAACTTTCTACAATTTTGCAAATGGAAATAAGTTGAAGCAAGTATATCTAACCTTAAAAGGTGTTGCAGTGTTGACGTGACAAAATCTCAATGAGCTTGCAGAATAAAATATAAATAGTGGTTTGCTTACAGGTGTACTTAATGGTGAGAGGGTCAGTACCTGCAGGTTCCCACACACGGAGAAGTGTTCAAGTCTGTAGGGTATACATGAGTGCACTAGGTCTTGTTACAGTTGGTCAGCATTTTAACACCCCTGCTTAGAGCTTAAGCATATACAGGTTTAACTTGTAGTGAAAATAAATCTGCTTGGAGGGGGGCGACTGTAGCGTGGGAATGGAGATACAATCTAGACACACAGGTCTGGATGTAAGCTTGTACTGTGAATGGAAACAACATCGTACTGCAAAAGGTAACTGATTGAAGCCCACAAGGCCTAATGAATATGAATGCCTAATGTGGTTATTCCAGATGATAGATAGATAGATAGATAGATAGATAGATAGATAGTCTGCACTGCACGATCTTCCCAGTAGATGCCAGTAATATTCTAATTCTTTCAAATGCACTGCATATCGTTATCGCACACTGACTCTCACATACACACCCAAGTCCAAGGAAGGAAAAAAAAATCATCCCGTTTTGACCTCATCAGCAAGAGCGATCAAGAGAAAGATTCCATTTTGTGACAAGAATACTTGATTATTAATTTGATTAGCAAATGTGTAAAAGATCATAAACTAGGCCATATGCACACACACACATAAATGTGATATCTCCCTTCATGCCGTTCACAGACTGCATATCCACAAATTCCCTGTTTCACCTTTTCCCGACTTTTCTCCTCTCTCCAGTTCCTGCTCCACTGCCGTCCGTAATGGCGAAAGACTCTTGTAAGATAAACACATGAAAAAAGAGGAAGATCAGGAGATGAGAGATTTGCAAAGCGAAACAACCAACCCCCCATTCTCTCTTTTCCTCTTTCTCTCTTTCTTTCCCTCTCTCTCATTATACTCCCCTGCTCATTTGAATAAATTAACACCCCCCTGACGTCTCGCTTCACCACCTTCCTCTTTCCCCCAATCTCTCCCCCCTCAACAGGCTGCAGGGAGAGAGAGAAATCCAGAAATATCCTCCTGTTTCCACACACGTTCATTTACTTACTCCCTCATGTACAAAGACACAATCACACCCACCCTCTAATACACCAAATTCAAAACAAACCCCACTCAAAAAAAAAAAAATAAATAAATAAATAAAAAAAAAACATTTGGTCTTATAAAAAGCAGACTGGAGCGCAGGCGCAGATGCACGGGTTCCTCCCTCAGCTGACTGACTTGGTGCAGCTCACTGACTCATTTGACTAATGCTGGCGAGCGTAACATGGCGTACGGTTCTGTATCAGGCTTGCTAATTGGCGCCAGTGCAGCTCCAGCGAAACTGGGCAAGCCGTGCGCTGCTGTGCCGCCATGCTAAACCAAAACAGCTCACCATCTGGGCCTCCTCTGCCACCATTTTGGATCTGCTTGGCGCTAGTTTGCATAGAGCGCTCTAATAGGCGGCCCATTCTGCAGGGGGAACTGAAACGGGGCGAGTTAGCCACCATTACAGAAGACTAGCATTTAGTGCCCTCCCGTTACCTGCGTGTGGCTGAGGTGGGAAGGCGCCAACCCTTGCCCCCTCCTTTCCACTATGCTACCACCTTCTACCCTCAGTGACCTTGCAGGCATTCGGTTAGGGAGGGGGCTCTCTGCATTAATACCAGATAACATTAGCGTTAATATGATTCTACCATGTTGCCGTGGCCTGAGGGGGGACTCTGATTGTCTGTGTATTAGCATTACCATTCTCATTAGCCCACCCGCTTCTGCCGTCTCCGCTCTCTCTCCTTCCTTCTCCTCATTGGCGTACTCTCTCTCTCGTTCTCTGCTTTTCTCCAGGCAACAGATGAGAGAGAGTGATGCAGATGATTTGTATTAGCAATGATTTCAACAGTCGCTGCCTGCCTGCAAGTCAGTGGTCACTTCCTCTCTGATGCACATTGTGTAGATACATAGTAGATACACAGTAGATTTCCTTCAGCCAGCGTGGCTTGTACTTTCTTTCTGAGCTTGTGTGTCTATCTCCATAAGTGTGTGGGAGGGTAAGGGTAGCATTCCATCTTCTATATTTCCATTTGTTACATAACTGAGTTGAGAGGAGAGGTAGAGAGAGGCCTCTAGGAAACAAAGAGTCCGGCTGATCTGCTCAACTGTTCTCTTCTCTGCTTATTCGTTTTCATACAAATCACTGCAGGATAAGAGGTGTATCTCAACCAGCAAACTTTAGTATACATTGCTGAATTTTAGAGATATCCAGGAGCTTAGTAGTGGGATAATTGCAATGTGTGTGATCAAGGTAAACCTCTGTGTAACAGCCAAGTGCAGAGTTGTACTTGGGAACAGAGCATTCTAGTCCCAGTCCAAGACTACTGAACTCAGGAGCAGGTTGACTCTGTCCTGACTTGGACTCGACCCTCTTCGGGTCTCGATCTGACTTGGACTTGAATAAACTGGTCTTGACTACAACACTGGCTAAGTATACCTCTAAGGTATTTTGTCAGGAGTTGCCCCCTTTGACAAAAAAGCTTCACCCTATTAGTCATTAATTTCAAACTGGATTGGTTGCTCTCAAGATTAACCCACCCCAAAATTAGGCAGTTATCTGTTGAGGACAAGCAGGAATGTTGTCCCTGCCACATCACTCTCAGGAAAAATGTGCAAAAATGTAACCTTTAGTTTGTTAATGGGGCAGTATGCTGAAAGTACCTGATCTACCCTAAAAAAAGTACATATTAATACTTTAAGGTGCTCATAACTTTAATGTTCTAATGTGAACCCTTTGAAGCTACTGGCTCAGTGACAAGTAGTTCTACTCCTAAAAGGTGCAACTCTATTGTTTTTCCTCCCCTCTGACAGTTATTATGTTAGGGGCTTTTTACTGTTCTCTGTCCGCACTGAAATGTACTGTTCAACTCTGTTCAGCCAAATTAAACTCTGCTCATGCAGTGAATTTTGTATTCCTCAAAATGAAACTTTTCCAAGTAGGGCCATAAAAGCAAAAAACTTTGCAGAACTGGATTTAACATTGTCAAATGTGTTCAACTAAATTGAAAATAACTCATATTTGTAGCTGAAATCGAAATGGAATTAACCAAAATATGCAACTTTGTAAATGTTCTAATTTTGTAGAAATATAAAGAAATGTCTGTGGAATTATATGGGCACAAACTAAGTTATCTAGTGTTTTGGCAGAGTGGTCATAATTTACATTTGATGGACCCTGGCCTTGTCCACTTAATCCCAGGATAAAAGGTTCTGCTATGACAACATAACTTCACTAAAGATTATTCCATTGAAATGGTCTTGCTGACTGGCCATGCATTGCCTGTGTTTGGGGCTGGGTAAAGATACATCACTGTCATTATGTGTAGAATCACATGTCAGTGTGATGGATTTCTCTATTGGTTGATTTTCTGGCAGGGCTGCACATAGCCTGTAATCAATAGTACAGTACGTTACAGTTCAATAATTATCCGAAAAGGATGTGGGAGTGTGAAGCCTGAGTGCTGGAGCAGAACCATCAAACCAAACAATGCAACCATTGGTAGCAGACTATCACTCTACACATTGTTGTCATTTCTTAAGTTGCCCTGGGGGTAGTGTGCTGTGTGCCATATTGTAATTTTACACCCAGACATGTACTCTGGCATTGTTACATATCATTGTCAAAATAATCCACAGAAATCCATCACACTGGTTTCTTCCTTTTAAGATGAAGGGGTTGCCAATTTCCATGCAAAAACTCTCAAATGCTATACAGATTTGCTTTATTTGAATTGTAAGGGTTTAATAATGCTGCATAATTACAATTTGTTACACTGTTTAATACAATCTATTCATTTCAATATTTCTTTTTGCAGACTTGGGTGGTGTAAGGCACTATAGTCACCAGACCGATAAAGCCGGGGTGGTCTGTGAGCGTTATCCGCCACTCGAGACAATACACGATACGCCCCACATGTCATTCCTCTCTCATTTTGCAGGCGATTCAGACATTCATCGGTGCGCCTCTGAAGCACGCGTTCTCTTTCATTCATATACGTGAACGTAAAAAAAGCGCGTGACAGGGTCTCGTGCAGTGTCTCTAAAGACGCACGCGAGTCACTCAATGAGCAGTGAAATAAAAGAAACGTAAGCGGAGCGTTTTACGCGCAACGTTCACACGAACTTTAAATTTAAAATGACGCTCAACCCTGCGGCAACAAAAAAAAAAACAACAACAACAAAACAAAACAAAAAAAAATTAAATATGATTCCCGGGTCTTAAAAGATTTAAGGTGGTCTCCCAGTCTTCAAGTTCCCCTCCTGGTCTGTTGAAAAGTGCCTAAAACCAGCAAATATAACTGTCTGGGAGAACAGACAAGGTTTAAACTGTTTTTCTCAGCAGCGTTACATCAATACACGATTTCTGGAGGTAAAAGGTAAGCCGTTGTCATCGCGAAAAGTGATCCGCCGTGCGTAAAAAGCAGCTATTTAGTTCCCAGGTGCGCTATGGTAACACTTAGTGCCACAGAACGCCCCGACTGTCTCCAGCCACGTGGACCGCTCACAATAACAACAACATGTTAAGTCCTGTCCTCCCTGATGCACTCAACCCAACCCCACCAACAAAACTCAGCGCGCCGTCCTCGCCGCGTCTCTCTCTGGCCCCGTACCAAGCACCTCTCCATCTCGCCGTACCACTGAACTACCGAAGGAGGGGCAGCTTGGATGACGGTCCCGCGGAGGGGAGGGTACGAGAGGCGGGACCAACGTCTTCCCCGCTTCTCGGCGCTGGCGAGTCCGGGACTAGGGCTGGAGAGATCGCCGGGGAGCATCGTCACCACTCCTGCACGGAGCCTCGCCTGGCCGAATACTGCACAGTGCACACGTCGGGATTGCAAAACATTCCTGAGAAATATACCTGCTATTTATGGCATGTGGCTGGTAACTTTACTCCTGCTGTATTCTTTTCAAGAAGGTATTTGTTCCTTTTATTTTATGCTGTTTTTTTTTTTTTTTTTTTAAATAATGTTGAAATAAAACTGCACTATTTATTACATTAAATTAAGTGGAAATTTAAAATCGCACTGTTCCAAGTTTATTTTATTGCGCGCTCGCATATTTGGATTTCAGGAAGTTTATTTCGCTCCAAAACTAATGCAACTTCCTTCAAAAAAAAAAATGTTTTAGTTGCTTAAAATGTGGAAAATTATTTTTTCTAGTCAGTGATTAATGACGAACAGGAGATTAGGAGGATGTAGGATCTGCATGTGCCCGTGCGCAAAGATGGGGGAGATAGCATGATTTGTATGCAAGATATGAATATGCTGTTGAGTTATGAATGTGTAGAACGGGATTAGATTTGGCATCGGTCGTGTGCATTTTCCATACACTTTTGGCCTTCTGTAGTTTGTTTGGTGGGGAAAGTAGAGTTGGTCAGAGGTGGGAATTTGTTTGCGCTTGGTGTACTACTTTTTACTGGGCTCGAATAAGAATGTAAATTTCCTAGGATTTGAATATGTCTGATATTTGTTTATAGTAACATGCTGCTGTATGCCTTTAGGAGAAAGAATAATATGTATTTTGTAATAAAAGTGCATGTTTTTGTTTGTGGTAGAGGATGAATATATCTGCATAGATCCTGTGAAAAATATAACGACATATGCAGCCTCATTTCCAATTAGCACTGGTGCAATTAGTGGTCCTCCATTTTCTATGCCAAAGATTCCTGGTTTGACTGTGCTGATGGTGGTTTTGATAAGGCACGTCTGAATTTGTATTAATGCCAAACAAAGATGTGGTTTATTGTAATCATAATTACGGTTATTTATTTGCTCATTCTGTTAGTTTTACGCATCAATTTCTGTCATGATGTATCCTCAACAATTTTGTTTTTGACACCTCACAGCATATATACCACTCCTTCCCTCACCCTCCTGCCTTGGAACGGTGCTTTCAGTTTTTGCTCATATTTTTTTTCTCCCTAACATTAATTTACAAAATATTTTTGGATGAAACCACTTTTCAAAGGTGTGCGCCTGTTTTGGAATGTTCTTTATCTGATATTGCTTTGTCAAGTATGGATTCTTATTTACCCACAAACAGTTCAAATGTGAATGCTTTGCCTGGTTTTACAGTTCTCGAGTTTTGATGCTTTAGAATTGAGAAGGCATTTTTATTTTATGCATTTTAATTTATAATGTCATTTGTTCGGGGATGTAAGGTCAGAATTATTTTCTGTCTCTCTTCCAGTGTGTGTGTGGGGGCTTGTGAAAGAGAACTGTGGTGTGTATTAATGTGCTTGTTTATATTTGTGTGTGTTCTTGTATGGGGGAGGACGGGTGCAGAAGGGCGTAAAGTGCGTAAAAATGTGATATGGAGGTCGCAAACAAACTTATTTTTTGCCATGTTTTCTTTTTATTTTCTAGTCTTCATATTTTATATTGTGTTTTCTGTCATTTTCACAATATATCTCTTATCATGTATCTTGAGATCTGATGACACGGTCGATAGGAGATGTAAAACGCACATCAATTATCATACATGCATATGCATTAGGACTGCGTATTTTTCCGAGAGGGCCGGGCCTCCATCCTTTCCACTTTCAAGGAATATAGAAACATTTCCCCTTAAAAAACTTTTTTTTATTATTATTATTATTATTATTAATAATAATAATAAATATAATAGCAAATGGTATGTCTATTATTTATTACACTGATTAATAATGCCATAGTTTATTGAAGGGTTTTGTGTTGGCTTTAGCAGACCCAATGGAATATACATTTTAAGAATTCACCCATGTTATTATCCAGATGTTGTGTGCACTTAGTGTGATTGATCTCAAGTCTGTTTAGAATATGAAACAAAACGTTTTAACAAATATTTGTTTATCTTTACTAATTTTAATTATGACATATTTGCTTCATGGGATATTGAATAACGAATAAAGGGGCTGTAGGCATTGTGTGTTCGCGTGTGTGTATCTGTGTCTGTCCAATATTTATTTTAAGGATCAGCAGTCGTCAGGTCGTCACATTTGTGTGGTGGCTGCGATATTATCCGGTCTGATCCGATTTTCGGAACATTTGCCTAAATTAAAATGTGATTGAAAGGAGCTTGCCACGTCCAACACGTCATACATGCATATGCATTAGGACTGCGTATTTTTCCGAGAGGGCCGGGCCTCCATCCTTTCCACTTTCAAGGAATATAGAAACATTTCCCCTTAAAAAACTTTTTTTTTTTTTTTTTTACACATTTCCTGAAATAATTTTATGTTGTCATACGAACACATTTTAGGCGTTTTTGGATAGGGGTTATCAGTCATTCTAATTTTAATTATGACATATTTGCTTCATGGGATATTGAATAACGAATAAAGGGGCTGTAGGCATTGTGTGTTCGCGTGTGTGTATCTGTGTCTGTCCAATATTTATTTTAAGGATCAGCAGTCGTCAGGTCGTCACATTTGTGTGGTGGCTGCGATATTATCCGGTCTGATCCGATTTTCGGAACATTTGCCTAAATTAAAATGTGATTGAAAGGAGCTTGCCACGTCCAACACGTCAAACCCTTTTATAATGAGACATATTATTATTATTATTATTATTAACTGACATGTTTATGTCTAACATCAACCATAACAATATTTCATCATTTAAAAAAAATAAAAAAAAGCACACTTTCATGCGTTTTCACCTCCAAACTGCTCGCAATGTCAAACTTGCTCTTCACATCAGGACACCTCCATCCCACCCGGTCTCCCCTTCATAGAAATATGCAAAATTGGTTTCCTCCCCCCCGTCAAATCCCCTGTTCTTCCCAGCTGCGCAATTAGTAGGAGATCTGCCGCATCCCCCACTCCAAAAGTAAATCAGGTCATTGGCCATAAGGACTCCATTTATCTCTCTCTCTCTCTGGATCTGTCAATCTCTCTGTTTCGTTATACTCGTCATATACACCTGTTTCTCACTTCTTTCTGTGTAATTTTGTCGGGAGACACACTGCGCTCATTATAATACGATACTTCCTCTATACAAATAAAGAGTAAAGCCTTGTGTGACAGCAGCATGAGTCACAGTTATAAACACGTTACTCTCATAAACTGTAGTAATATGTACTTGAACTTTTCGTCTACTTGAGAATGAGATGGTTTAGACTGAACAGGATTGTCCCATCAGTGTTTCTTCCCCTCTCACGACTGTCCTGAGTTGATTGTTTTTAAGCCCCAAATTGTTCCTAGCTAAATAATTTCACTCATTTTAATAGGCTAGTCCAGGGGTAGGCAAGTATATATATATACTTTAATAAACATCAAAGTTTGCTACAATTAGTGCACTACGTAGTCGCTCAGGAACAGAAGTAGCCTGAGGAGGTAACCATAGCAACAGCACGCTGCTCTAGCGCTTTCCTTTGCGAACAAATGTGCACTGGAAAACAACACAACTGTCAATATCATTTTATTATAGATTTGAATATCACAAACATAATCACTCTCACACACACAAAAAAAATAAAGTAAAAAAAAAAATAATAATAATAAAAAAAAAATACTGATTTGTTTAAAACGTCCCTAATAGGAAAGACATAAATAGTTAGTCTAACTACTGATTCTCTATAATTGTATGGAAAAGACTAGCCTATAGCGTCAACATTCAGGTAAACGTCTTTTCTGTGTCCAATGGCCCTAATGTGATGGTGTGTTGCAGCACTCAGGTGTTTGCGTGCGTGTGTGTGTGTGTGTGTGTGTGTGTGTGTGTGTGTGTGTGTGTGCCCAAAAGTTTGATATGGTATGATATGTTGATATATGTTAATTTACAAATTAAAGTAGTTTAATATTGTATTAAAATGGATTTATATAAAATATACAAGAAACTGCTGATTTGAATGAGATTTTTAACAACTATTATCATGGTAACAGATCAGATTATAAATGGTCTGAATTACAAATTGCAAGTGATTTTTTTTTATTTATTATTATTAACTGGTACTTAATTACCTCGTGTTACAACCCTCACCATTTACCTCATTGTATTTAGTAAATCGTGTGTAGTCATGTTAATCTCTGATAGTTATGTTCTTCAAGAAAATGTAGTAAATTCCTCTGTGGTTTCATATTTGTCAGTTTAGTTTCAAAACAATTGCTCTAATAACAGGAACCACAGAAGTTCAGATTCATGCAGCTCCTGTTGCAGATCATGATATACCTGCATCTCACTTAGAGGTAAAGAGTGGCGAGGGGTGTCCCCAGAAGAGGGACCGTTTACAAAGTATTTAAACTACAGTTTATAAACTACCTGAAACACAGGAGATTTGTTAAAATTCACATTTTATTGACTCTTTTAAAAATGCATTGAGAAAACTGACACTCAACCTCCAAAATCATCCTTTGAAGTCTGAGCTACTTCTGAATTTTTTTTCCCTGACGCTGCAGTAACTTGCAAATAAGGGGGTAGAGACCCCTCACCCGTTTCAAAATCCAACCCCTAATGCATTTCAAACCATGTTTATCAACCTCACTCACTTACATGACCATATATTTGATTCATTATGTAAAGTGAACAAGATAGATGTATGCAAAATGCTAATTATATAACCAAACGGATAGATATATACCTCTTCTACTCTCCCACTTTTCTCTCACTCTCTTCTTAAAGAGATTGCCATACAATTGTCGGCGGTTACATGTGACTGGTTTCCAATCCACTCGAGCTCACTCACGCAAAGCACTGAACAATCACAGGGACAACAGTGGCAGGCAAGATTTACTCTAAAATACCAGAACAAATGTAATCTAAACACATGTGTACATGTGTCCTTCTCAGCCTAGCAATGAAGAAATGTCCGATGCACACACATACATACACACACCTCATGCTTGCTATCGTAACCTATTTATAACTGGATGCAGTGTAGGGCTGACTTTAGATTCAGCTGGAAGTTACTCAGCACCTGTAGTATTGATTTTTCCTTGAC